GATTGTGATTTCAGACTTTTCTTTTTCGTTTAAATTTACTCATTTTGTCCAAAAATAATAGTCACAATTTTTATTTTTTTTCTCGTATATTTCAAAATAATAGTCATATTTCTATAAATAACAATATTCCCATAAAATTATCCATATTATTTTAGTCATTATATTTTATACAGATACACTCACAAGGATATTTTTATATTTTAATATCTCCTTTATATCCCACTCAATAGCTATTCTTTTGGGATGAAGTTCGTTATTTAATAATTTCGTATCCACGAGGTTAATTTGGTGTTTTAGAAGAATACATATGGATGCCGAAAGCCATTATCCAGAGCTATCAATTGTTGCGTCTTTCATGGGTGATAAATTTAATTTCAAATACGATAAAAAAAAATTAAAATAAATTATAAAATTTAAGCCTTTTATTTTTATTTTTATTTATGCTGCATTTATTAATTTTATAAAAAAATTAAATATGTAGTACTAGCATGTATACTCCATCTATGCACTCAATTATTATACTCCTCACGTATCAAAAAAATATCTTATTGGAATTGAGCACGAGATTTAAAGAATAATAATATTATTTTCGTTCTACTTATTTTGTTTGTTCCACTTTATTTGTCATTTTTTCTTTAGGAAATATAATTGTATGTTTGTTTGGGGGATTGGATTTACTTTCCACTATTCATCCAATTTTTTTTCTCCAAAAACATCAAATCAAACACCTATTTTTCATTTTTTATATTATACTAAAAATCAATTTTTCATTCAAAACATCACATCAACATCTATTTATATCACACCATGTAACAATTTAAATTCAAAATTTTTACTATTCAAATCCCAACTCAAAATCCAAACCCCCAAACAAACACACCCTTAATCGTATTTAAATTTTATAATTTATAATCTTTTAATCTTAATTATATTACTCCCTCCGTCCGCACATAAAAATACAATTACTTTTGGCGCGGTGTTTAAGAAATAATAGTATTTTAATTATAGTTGGTAGTTAAAAATAGTGTTATGACATTTTTTCCTTATTTTTTGGTGTAAAAGTAATGATGTGATGTAAGGTGGAGGTATTTGTGAAAAAAAATGGGGTATTTAATGACATATTTACTTTGTAATTGGATATCCCAAAATAGAAATATGTATATTTTCTAATTGGACGAAGGGAATATTAGTTATTTTAATATTAATTTATGGTTACTTTTATTATTAGAATTATTAATTTTATTAATATAATTTTCTAATTATTTACTAATTATATTTTATTTAAATTATCATATTTATAGTAAATTGAACAAAAAATATGGGATGAAGGGAGTATTAAATTGAAAAGAAGTACTACATAAAGTAATATTCCCTCCCTCCACATACAATGTATACATTTACTTTTGGTACGGTGTTTAAAAAATAATAGTATTTTAATTATAGTGAGTAGTTAAAAGTAGTGCAATGACATTTTTTTTCCTTACTTTTTGGTGTAAAAGTAATGATGTGATGTAAAGTAAGGGTATTTGTGGAAAAAAAAGGAGGTATTTAATGAAATATTTACTTTGTAATTGGTTATCCCAAAATAGAAATATGTATACTTTATAACTGAACGGAGGGAGTATAAATGAATGACCAAATTGCTTTATTTTATAAAAGGTTGAAAAAAAAATAAATTAAAGTGATAATTAGAAGCATTTTTTAAAAAATAGAGATAATTTTATTGTATAACAGGGACTACGGTTACTAAATAAATAAGACAATTATATTATAATAAACGAAAAAAAATACTCCATTCGTCCCAGATACCGTGTCTGCTACACTGTAGACACTATATTTTAGGAGGGGTGTAATTAGTAGATAATTAAGAATATATTAGTGAAAATAATTATCCTATAATATAAATAATTATAAATTAAAATTAAGACAACTAATTAGTTTAATTAAAATTTTAAAAAAAAGTAAAATTAAAAATTTTAAAATGAAATTAAAGTGTGTAATCATTTTCTAAAAAAAAAAATGACATGGTATGTGGAACGGATAAAAACGGCAACGTGGACATGATACGTAGAACGGAGTGAGTAATTAACTTTGATGATGTGATAAAAATATATTAAAAATTTGCAAAATTTGGTATCATGTCAACAAAAATTGCCACGTGAAAACAATGTAGAACTTTGCAATATCATTAAAAATCGCCGCATGATGTGGCCATTTACAATATTCTTTTAATTTTTTTTATTTTTACGTTTTTATTAATTTTTTATTTTTTAATAATAAAAAATAATTGAGCAGTGTTTAGTTTTAGTTTTTTAAAAATTTTCAACGTATTTAGATATTGAAAATTATATAAGTACTTTATAAAGTGTGAACTTTTTATGTTATAAAAATAATATACTGTCTTTTAATATCTTTTTTTTTTTTTTTCATATTTCATGTAATTTTTTTAATATTAATATTATTCATATAGTACAATTAAAATATAATGGAGTAGCACTAATAATAATAATATTTGTACAATACATGATTGATTATCAAAATATCTTTAATTTTATATTGGTACCGATACTAAAAAATCAGATCAAAAATAAAAATAAAAAAAAACTAATACTTTGTTAAAAATGAAGTAATATATATTTACTAAAAAATATAAATAATTTTTGTATTGAAAATAATATTCCATTTATCCCTCAAATTTATATATATATATATTTGTTCATTTACCAAAAATATATATATTTTATATATGAATTTTTTTAGAAACTTTCTAATTAATAATCTTCAAATTTTATTTATTTACAAATATAATACAACTATCCACACATTCAATTTATCAAAGTTTTTTTAAGATATTAAAATCAATAAAATGTAACACAACTATCTATACACTTCATTTAACTCCACACACCCTTATTTATATCAAAATCAATAAATATAACACTCTCTCTGTGCAATATTGGACTTCTCACATGGGAATGATGCGATGTAACAAAAGAAAAATATGATAAAATGTGGAGTAAATATTAATTATATTTAATTAATTTATATTTTAAAAATATTGTAAAATATTTGAAATAGACCAAAAAGAAAATATTGTCAAATATTTTAGACGGAGGCAAAAAAGAATATAATGCATAAAAAAAAACTAAACTTACAGTTTAAAATAAATTAAAAGATTAAGTATTAATTTTTTTTAATAACAATAAATATTTACTATATTATTTTTTTTAAAAAAATATAATGAATAATATCGAAATTTTATAAAATGTATATGTATTCACACCCTTGGATTTAAATAAATATGTTAACAGAAACCGTCTTTATTGCAAATAAAATTATTTTTTACAAAAAATTCAAGTAAAACTTTCAAATTTAAAACCAAACAAATTCTATTGATTCAAATATTTCGAGTTAAAGTTAACCAAATTAATCTGGTTATATATTATAAAGATTTTTTAATTTTAGCTAATAAAAAAACAAATCAACCTAATAAATATTTAAAATAAAAAAAAATAAAAATTCACAATTCAGCGAAGTTCTATTCATCATATTCTCATTTTTGTCAACCTCCGTTTCACGTACCATGTCTACGTTGCCGTTTCTGTCCGTCTCACATACTATGTTACTTTTATTTTTTTAAAAATGATTACACACTTGAATCTCATTTTAAACTTTTTAATTTTATATTTATTTTTAATTTTAATTAAACTAATTAGTTATTTTAATCTTAATTTATAATTATTTATATTATCAAATAATTATTTTTATTAATACATTCTTAATTATCTACTAATTACAACCTTCCTAAAATACCGTGTTTACAGTGTAGCAGACATGTGAGACGGAGGAAGTATTATTGTGTGCAAAGAGAAAGAACGGAAAATAATATATAAAAGAACTATATAATAAGAGTTCGATATCTATATATATTTGGGAAAATCCTAATTTTTATTGGGCCCATTGGACTTGTACTCTCTGTTTATTTAACCTCTTCGGCCCTTCCAAAGAGTAATTAATTTTCGTCTGTCACTTAATAATCTATCCATTTTATTATTTTGGTCCGTCTCATAACAAAGTATCAATTTTCTACTATGTACCTAACATTACAAATACCTTTCAAATTTTTACATATATTATTAAAATGTCATTACATTTATATCATAAAATACTAATAGGGTTAATATAGTATTTTTACTTTTATTTCTACTTTATCTCAATATAATATTAATATTTCTAAAACTTCGTCCAAAAAATGAGACGGATGACTTATTTGAATTGCAACACATTTGATACAAAGATGTTTTGGTTTTGGAGTATCAAATTAAATTATTTTTTATACTCTCTTACCATTTTTGTCCGTTCAAAAACAACAGTTTTATTTTCATAAATAACCATATCACTGTAAAACTACTCTTACTTTTTCATTTTTATTACACAATTGTTACTATTTTCTACATTAATACACTCATAAGGGTAAAAAAAATTCTTAAATCTCGTGTTCAACTCAATTAAGACTATAGTTTTGATACGGAAAGAATATTATATAAAATAATTTTTATATTATATTAAAATTAATTTAATATTTAAAATATTTCATCAAACAACATGATATATATAGCCTATAGAGAAATCTTGATCATTTTGTTTTGATTATCAATACTAAACAGGGTTTGTTTAGAATTTGTTTGTTTAATGAAATAGCTTGTAGAATTTCTTTTTTTCTTTTTTTCTTTTTTAAAAAAAACTGGGAAATATAGACAATTGTTTACATAGTAAAAATATAATAGATATGTAATATATTAATCTTTTTTAGAGAAATATATTTTTAGGAATTATATTTTTTATAAAGAGAACACACAGGTGTTTTGAATAATTTAGGTACGTTGTTAAGAAGCAATAATTACGATAACAAAAATAAAATAAAATTCCCATGGCACAAAATTTAAAATATACCGACAAATATAAAAATACCAACACAAATAAAAAAATAAAATAAAAAAAATAATAACAATTAAATTCATTGTTATCTATTAAATGGCAGTTTCAGACCACAAGCATTTCTCATAGCCTTAACCTTAATGATCCCTTTCCTCTTCCTCCTGGCTTCGGCAAATCTGGCCCGTCTATCGGCAACGACATCCAACGGCTGAGATACATCTATCTCCTCAGGTGGCATGTTGAGATCGATCCAATTGAGTCGACTCAATTGGTTGACTGATTCAAGCCCATTGCTACTGATCGAACCAAATGGAGCTCGGAAAATCTCCGCCGTCGGATCTCCCATCAACGGCGGATGATGGCGGGGAATGTTCATCCTTCTTTCCATCTCCATCTGTGTATCTTCTTCTTCTTCCTCATCCTTTCTTGCGCAAGAATTCAACACCTAAATTAAATTAAACAAATATTTCTTGTCAGGAGTTAAAGGCGACAGCTTTGATGCCAAAAACAGAAAAAAAAAAAAAAAGGTGGTAATTTTGACAGCAATGGCGTTTGCAGGTTGGATGAAATGGACCCTTTGTTTTACGCCTTTTAACTCAGAATTGAAATCCTTGAGCTTTTGGTAGTAGTTTTTCACAGTCTCGATCTCCTGTTGATTTTGCAGAAAAAAAAAAAGAAAAGAAAAAATCCAGATTCGATTAATGGAGAAGAAGCAGAAGATATGTCGATGGAATGTAAAATTACGAACTTACCCCTCGAAGAAGGTTTCTCTTCTGGTTCAATTCGTGTATTGTGCATCTGTATTCATCTCTCGTCTGCAAAATAAAATCAATAAATAAATAAATAAATAAAAATGGAGGTTTTGTAATTGAAGTAAAGTAGTTACTCTTTTCTTGGAGGATTTGTTGCACTTTCCGTCGCAATCTCCAGGGGAGAAAGTGAGCGGCGTGTCAGGGCTGGCGGTGGTGCGGACGGCGGCGGCGACGGCGACGGCGGCGGGGGTCTTCTTACCAGGCGGCGGCGGCGGCGGCGGAGGTGTGTCGAGGGAAGATCTTCTCTTCCTGCAAGTCCAATTGAATCTGGAAAGGGATTCAGATAAGGACATTAAGGTCTTGAGATCGAGGAGTATCTGAGAAACAATGGTTTCATCTTCCATGGCAGAGGTAGAAGGAGAAGAAGGTAATAACATAGGGCTCTGTCTGTCTCTGTGTTTCATTGGAGATGGAGATGGTGGAGAAAGAAGAGATGTGGCTAATGGGGAGGTGGAGAGAGAAAGTGGGCTCTTAAAAATTGGGGAAGAGAGAGAGGGAGAGAGAGAGAGAGGGGAGTGGCTTCTGCCACGTGTCACTCAAGTAGAGATGAAGGGTCGCCTGCCTAGGGTTTATGAAGTGTGTGTGTTTCTGTCTTGTGTTCTGTATAATTAATTTTCTTGGCAAATTCCACTTGTTTTACCAAAAGCCCATAATCAACTGTATATTTAATTCTAAATATACTGTTCCTATTTGCTATAATAATTTTTTTTTAATTTTATTTTATTTTTTACTATTATTTTTTAAATATTTAATTTTTTTTATTATTTTAAATAATTTCTTTTTTATTTTTATAATTTAAAATAATTTTTTTATAAAAAATTTTAAAAAATAAAAAATAAATTTAAATTTTCTTTTTAAAAAAAAACATTATTTTTCTACTGTAGCAATACCAAAAAGTTACACAGAATTTGATATCTCTAGGAGACAACCGATGCCAAATCAATATCCTTCTCAGAAAAGATCGTTCTTGGAGCCTAAGAAAAAGGTCTAACAGATTTCAAACCCAATTCAAATCCAAGACCCTCCAAATAAGAAAGTAGAATATTAGTTGTGGACAGAAAGAATAGTATATTTTAAATTAAATTACTTCATCTTTTCTAAAATAATAATTTTATTTTGTTATTTTCGCTCATTTCAAATATATTCATTTTTATTTTTAGTAACAAATTCTTCACTTTTTTACAAAATTAATCATATTTTGTTACACTAATGAGACATTTTAATCTATTAAAAATATTTTTACACAAATTATTAATATAATAATATTATTTGTCAATCCCCAATGTACTTGTTTTTGAACAGAGAGAACATTTTATAAATAATAAAAAAATAAAATTATACTTACGAAGTAAAACGTATATATTTTTATAAAAATTAATAGTAATAGAAATAGAAAAATATAAAATTGTCAAAAGAACGAAAAATTATTTAATTCTTAAATTTTAATTCTCCAACTCGGAGCACAAAAAAAAAAAAAAAAAAGAAAAAAAAAAGAAAAAAAAAAAGAGATTTCTTTTATGGGTGTGTTTGTTTGGGGGATTTAATTAGATTTCTACTATTCATCCAATTTTTTCCCCCCAAAAATATCAAATCAAACACCTATTTTTTATTTTTTATATTATACTAAAAATCAAATTTACATTCAAAACATCACATCAACACCTATTTATATCACATCATACAACTATTCAAATTCAAAATTTTTACTATTCAAATCTCAACTCAAAATATCAAACAAACTCTAAATCGAATATATCAAAGTTTTGTAACTCAAATATATTGAAGATTCCCATTTTGAGTGATTCCCATGCATTTTTCCGGGCCAATTTAAAAACCTAGAAAACATGTAAGAAGAAACTATAATGTAAGTAGAGAAGAGGTCTTCATACCGAAGAAGAGTCAGCTGTTAGTAGCAGTAGCAGTAGCAAATGAGTTCGATAAAGAAACAACAATATCTAAGAGGCTCTCTGTTTCTTTGAAGTTCTTGCCGCAAGAACAAAGTCATCGTCGCCAGAAGATCCATCATCCTCGATCTTGCGTTTCTTCGACTTGGCTGATGCTGATGCTGCTTTGGTAGCAGGCGTCGTCTTCTTTTTCTGGGTCGTGACGTTTGAAGATGGCGTTTTCTTTTCAATCGTAACAGTTTCGCCCTTCTTCTTGACAGTTGCAACAGTTTTCATAGGTGACCCGAGCTTCTGCAGCTGTGCCCGGTTCTGTTTCCTCTCGAAGACTTTCTGCGCCATTTCTTTCGGGAGCAATCCAGATTCCATCATCCTTAATCCACACAAACAATATGAAAATTTCATCCATCATCCCGAATATACAGAGGAGAAGCAAGCAGCAGAAATTCTTGCAACAGAATATTACAATGGGTAATTGTTTCGATAAAGAATGTATCTTGTACGTTGAAATGGCATATTCGAAACCCTAATATACCAATAAACCAACAAAGTCTTTGCTACCGAAGAAATAACTAATCCAACACATAGCACCATTACAAACATCTAATGGCCAAATAAACAGCAAAAAAGAATGTATCTTGTATGTCGAAAAGGCAAATTAAACCTTAATAAACCAACTAAACTTTGCTACTGAAGAAATAACAAATCCAACACATAGCACCATTAAAAACATCAAATGGCCAAATAAACAGCAATAAAGAATGTGTCTTGTATGTCGAAAAGGCAAATAAAACTCTAATAAACCAACTAAACTTTGATACCAAAGAAATAACAAATCTGATACCATGGAATTCGACGAATGTGCACAACCAAATCAACAGCAACAAAGAATGTGTATTGTGCATAGTAAAGGATTATTAGAAACCCCAACAAATCAATAAACAAACTGAAACTACGCTGCCTTTAGTAACACAAACTTCGGATTCGACAAACAAATGCAGTGACATAACATTTAGAACCTTAAACATGAAGGAACCATACAACCAATGTAGATTCAAACAACAAGCACTAATTCATATCCTTAATTCTGTCTTCAACAGTAAAGAAAGGCAGAAAACAATACACAGTATTAGCAACAAAAAATTAAGCATTTGGAACAAATAGGCTTACCATATAGCCGCCATTTCACTCTCAGGAACTTGCTTGTAAAGACTCTCGTAGAATATCCTCAGTGGATCTCGCTGAAAATGAAATCCAATCAAAATTTAACAGAACAAACAAATTTCCTAAACCATTTCAGGAATAACGATGAGATTAATATACAAAATGATAAAACATGGACATACTTCCTCTGGTGGATCCCTCTTTTGCCCTGGAATATCGAACACTTTCTTTTCCCTTTTCTTAGCATCATTACCACCGGCGGCGTCACCTCTTTTCTTCGTTTTCACTGCCTCCGCCTCTTCTTTCTTCTTCTTCCTCTTCTTCGTCGCCTTCGCCCAATTCCGCCGCCAATTTGACAACAAAGTTAGAAAGGAACAAAAAAAAAAAAAAAATCAAATCGGCCATTGTTACGTAACGTCGCACGGAATTGCAATACATTTTACCTTCTTGCTGGAGGCACTGTTTGAAGTCGGTTCGTCGAAATCTTCATCTTTCTTCAACTTCGCTTCTTCCTTCTTGACTTTCGCCTGCGATTTCGGTTCGGCATTGCCGCCGCTGTTTTTCGGTACTTGTTTTCCGCGCTTCCCGAAAGCGGACGCTATGCTCTTCTCTTCGTCGTCGTCTTCAACTTCCTCCTTTTTCACCATGTTCTTCGAGTCTTCCTGCAGCATTCCTCTGCAGAACCCAAAATAAAAGTCGAAAAATCTTCCGAGGAAGATGAACAAGGGTTTAGGGTCGCGGAATGTTCCGAATTCGGCAGTCCGCGCGAATTCAGATGTCTCACTAAATAGATTGGGCCGTTGGCCCATCTAAGATATGGGCTAATGTAATAATCAAACCCAATGAATAATAAAAAAAGAAAAAAGAGTTTTATACCCTAAGGCCCAAACCCTATTTGGGCCATTTTAAATGCTGATTCTTTTTTATTTGATTTTAGTTTTATATTAATTATAAAACAAAATTCACAAAAACTATCAAATCCACAGTATATATATTTTGTTATTTATAATTACTTTTTAACATATACATAAATCTAATTTATTGTTGAAAAATAATTTAAACATTGGCTTATAATTTATTTAGAAACAATTTGTTCACTTTTTTTTTTTTTTAATTTTTTTATTTTTATAAGGTGAGAATTTAATGCCGATCTTTTGAGTGCGCTCTTATTAAACTTCAGTTGAATATAATAATATGTAAATTAGGCCCGACCAAGATAGATCATACACATGTGTGATAGACAAGAGGTGGAGTTTGTTCACTTTTTGTGTTTGAACTGATGTATTTTTATATACATAAAAAAGATTAGTTGAACCAAAACTCAAACAAACCCATTTCTATTCTTATTTTTCATCTCAACTAAATTATTAAAATATTAAAAATATATATATATATTATATAAAATATCATATTAATTATTATTTTTAAAAATAAATCTAATTTTCAAAATCAGTCCCCATAAAAAAAAAAATACAATGATGCTACACCCAAAACCAAGCAAGGAGTCCCAACAAATGAGTGTGTTTGTTCGGGGGATTGGATTAAATTTCTACTATTCATTTTATTTTTTTTTCCCAAAAACATCAAATCAAACACCTATTTTTTATTTTTTATATTATACTTAAAATCAATTTTACATTCAAAACATCACATCAACACTTATTTATATCACATCATACAACTATTCAAATTCAAAAATTTTACTATTCAAATCTCAATTCAAAATCCAAACCTCAAACAAACACACCCAAGGCGGATTCTCATGTTATATATAAATAAAAAAAACCGCGGAGCTCATTTTTTATGTCCATAACAAAATAATAATAATAATAATCGGATCAGTGGACAATTAGTCAATTATATCCTAATGTAAAATGAATAATTATATTATAATAATAAGAGAAACATAAAAGCTTTTTTTTTTAATAAATAAATAGATTTCCGATACATTCAAATAGCAAAATTGATATATTGAGTTTGTTTACACTAATATAATATATTTTATTTATTTAAAAAAATAAAATAGTTTATTTTGTGAGATAATTTTAAATTTTTTTTTTTTTAATTTGAAATATAAAAAATATAAAAATAATAACTATATATTTTTAATTTAATTTTTATTTTTTATACGATGAACATAAACCAAGAAGTTTAACTTTGAGCACATACGATACTAAAAAGTCCTTCAAATATCATGTGTCAAGACAATAAAAACAGACTCGAACCTATTGAAAAAGAATAGTATAGACTTGACCAAACGGTTCACGGCGCCGATTAAGATTTATCAAACTAAAATCGGATTTTTTGAACGACAATTTCGATTACGGCTTGACAATTTCATTTACGATTTATAAACTGCCGGTCTGTATATATTCTTTTTTAATATTTTTTATTTTCTATTTTTTTAAAATTTAAATTTTATTGAAAAATAATTAATTTTAATTTTAATTTTATTTATATATTTATTTATCATATAAAATTCATATATATATATATATGTATAAAACTACTCCATCCGTCCTAGATAATATGAGATTATTATTGTAGATACGAGAATTTATGTAAAGTATAATTAGTAAGTAATTAAGAAGTTAATTATTGTATATTAAAAATAATTATCGATTAAAAATAAGATAATTAAATAATTTAATTAAGATTAAAAAAATTTATAAAATTTGAAATTTAAAATTTGATTAAAGTGTATAATTATATTTTTTTAATAAAAAAGAAAGGAGAAACTACGGGTGTGTTTGTTTGGGGGTTTAGATTTTGAGTTGGGATTTGAATAGTAAAAATTTTGAATTTGAATAGTTGTATAATGTAATATAAATAAGTGTTGATGTGATGTTTTGAATGTAAAATTGATTTTTAGTATAATATAAAAAATGAAATAGATGTTTGATTTGATGTTTTTGAGGGCAAAAAATAGGATAAACAGTGGAAATTTAATCTAATCCCCCAAACAAACACACCCTAAGTGAAACAGACAAAAATAAAAAATATAGATAAATCATGTGAGATGAAAGGAGTAATTAATTAGATTGTTACCATATAAAAATAATTAAAATAATAAATTAAATTTTAAATTAGAAAACAAATAAACGATGGTTCGAACCGAATGGGTAAGTCTCAAACGGAGCAAGAAAAACTAAAAATATATTTTCATTGATGGAAGAATGAATAACCAGTATGAATAGCACTCCTACCTTAGGAGAATATAAATACTGAAAGCCTACCTAATTCTTCCAAAAGAAGAATATACAGGGTGATCCACACCTCAAGCTGTTATAACAACTTTTTGGTTGTATACCACATGTAATCACAAAAAAATACTCCTATCGTTCCATTGAAATGTTACTATTTTCTATTTTCGTCCGTTCCAAAACAAGGTTACTATTTTCTAATAATAAATACTCTTTCAACTTACAATATATTATACAAATGTCATTACTTTTATATTACACTATATTAATAGGAGTATTTTTATCTTTTTTACTACAATCCAATATAATACTAATATTTAAAAATCTACGTACAAAAAGCAAATGTCACCGTTTCAATGGGACGGAATGAGTAATTAATCTCTACCTGGTTCTAGAGTTACTTTTGGACCTCCATCTGTTTTTTTTATTCTTGGACTGGAATTCATTATCCAACTATTCATTCAACATACCCCCTTAAGAGAAACTTGGGTCATACCTCCCAAATTTAGCATGACATACATCAAATCCAATGTACGTGCAGATAGAGCCTTAGTAAACATATCAGCCAATTGGGAAATGGATGTTATGAAATGAGGTTCAATGCAACCACTAGCATACTAATTATGGATGAAATGACAATCTATATTTATGTGTTTTGTTCTTTCGTGATGAATCATATGAATGACGGATTTATTATCACAGTATAATGGAATATGAAGTGAACTGTTACTCCGCAAATATCGAAGTCCTAAAGACATCAAAATAAATCTTCAAAGCCAAAGTCGAAGATCAAATTCGTTCGCACAGATACCAAAGTCCTCCAAAATCTGGATTAAAAATCAAATCCGCCAAAATGATGAATTAAAGATCAAATCCTCCAAAAAAGTCATCTAAATTCAAATTAAAAATCAAATCGACTTGGAAGAAAATAAAAAGATCCAAATAGACAATGACCCGCTTCAAATCAAGTATGATGTATACAATTTTTGTGTTTATAAAATTAATACAATTTTCTTTTATCTATAATTATAACTTTTTATATACATAATTTTAATTTTATATTATATTAGTATATTTTTGAAATATAGTGTATTATACTTAAAAATAAAAAAAATCAGCTCTACCAATAAAATTTTCTAACTCTCCTGCTGGTATTTGGGACGAACTTACTTTTGAAGGGACAAATCTATCCCGGCACCAATAAATCTTATACTCCGCCGTCCGATATAATTTGTTCCTATTTTAAATTTTCGTTCGTCCCATATAATTTGTTATTTTTTTAAAAAAAATATAATTATACACTTTAATCACATTTTAAATTTTTATAATCTTAATTAAACTATTTAGTTATTTTAATCTTAATATATAATTATTTTTATTATATTCGTATTTATAAGAATACACTCATATTACATAGGACAGAGGGTGTAATATTTTATATATATCAAAAAATTTCTATATATAAAATAAATATATAATGGAGATAGAACATAACTTGTTATTTCCGAAAGTTCACAGAAAGAAAACTGGAATTTAGAAAAGGGCAGAATGACGAATCTTTCCACTTTCCAGCTCGGAATCTTATCCATATAGATACAGAATGGAATCATATATCATCATCTATATAAATCCTGGCCATGGACAATGTTATTATATAAGAAAGAATTAAACATTCCATTTCAGACCAAAAATAAAAATAAATAAATAAATAAAATGGGTCTGTTTGTAAGATCACGGCGGCCGGGGATGAGCTGGAAGGACCAAACCCTAGCCTCCCTGTCGCCGCCGCCGCTGCCGCTGGTGGTGTTCTTCACGCTGATGGCGATGTTTCTGTGCAGCGCCGTTCTGCACACCTCCAACCAGAAGGCGCAGAGGCGGCGCCGGGGATTCAGGTTCGGCCTGCTAGCGACGCCGTTGGTGGTGGCGCTGGTGCTGAGCGCGGCGCTGCTGCCCCTCCGCCGCCGGATGAGGAGGTACAGCTTTGGAATGCCGGGGCAGCACAGTCCGGCCCAGGGCGGAGGTCCGGCGGCGTTGGGTTATTTGGTGGTGGTGGTGCTGCTGATATTTATGGTTTATTTTCAGTCGTCGTTTCAGTCTTCTTGGTTTAGATATTAAATAGTTTAATATCGATTTGATTACATTAAGAAATATAAAATACTCCTTCCGTCCCATAAGTAAATATTCATTTGCTTTTTACACGTAATTTTAGAAATATTAGTATTATACTAGGATATAGATATAAAAGTAATGATATTTGTGTAATATATTGTAAGTTGTAAGAATATTTGTAAGGTTAGATAGACAGTACAGTTACTAAAATAAGGAAATAGATACTTTGTTATGGGATCGACTAAAATAAAAAAAATGGATACTTTGTTATGGGACGGAGGGAGTATATATATACACACGTGTATACTTTGAATGGAAGGTTGTATTCCTTTATAGGTTTTAGCCTAGGTTTAGTATTTAAATTCTTTTTTTTTTTTTTTTTTTAAATATCAAATTAAGTAATTATTTTTTCTTTTTTATACTCCATCCGTTCCGCCACA